CGTGACTATTGCATCACCCTCACCGTCACCATCTTCGTCGCCGTCGCCTGCACGTTCGTTGGTGTCGGCCCGAGGGTGCCAGCATGTCGGGCACCTCCGCGACCCTCTTGGGTCACCCGTCCCTGCCAGGGCTCCCCCGAGCGCCGCCATGGAACTGAGGACGGTCGCCAGGGCATGCAAAGCCGCAGGCTCGGCGGCATGCCATCCCGGCGAGAGCCCCGTCTCGAACCGGCGCTGCCCTGCACCCCTTTGGGCGAAGCACTTGGTGGGCGGTGGGTGCCCGGGCGAGGCCCAGCCCGCGCAGAGGCCGAGGCAGGCCAGCGCGAGCAGCCCCCCAGTTGGGTCCCGACGGGTGCCCCGAGGGTCGTCCCCGATGGTAGGAGGATGAGGAGGGGGAGGAGGGGGAGGAGGAGGGGGAGGGGGAGGAGGAGGAGGAGGAGGAGGAGGAGGAGGAGGAGGAGGAGAAGGGCCCCGATGGTTCTCCCGACGGATGTTCGGGCCGAACGAAAGGGGGGCATAGGGAAGGGGGGGGGTACGAAGTCTGCTGCATGCAGCCGGTTTCGGCCCCACCGAGGGGCCCAGTCCTCGATGCATGGACGCCTCCGGCGCCGGGAGGCGCCTGGAAAATCAGCTACGTGAGCTGATTCTCAAACCCGCCCTTTGCTATCCCCCCCTTTCGCCCGGCCCGAGTTGTCCCGAGGGCTGTCCCAAGGGTTGTCCCGAGGATTGCATACGTGTCAGTCAGGATGGCTGTCCCGACGATATGTTCGTTGGTTGTCCCGAGGGTTGTCCTGGTGGTTGTCCCGGTGATTGATCCGATGGTCGTCCCGAGGGATGTACCGATATTGTTGTCAGAGTGTTGTTCCGTTGATTGTCCCATGGTTGTCCCGGTGGTTCTCCCAGTGGTTGTCATGGTGTTGTCCCGATGAATGTCCCGACGGATGTCCCGAGGGTTATTCCGATGGTTGTCCCAGCGGTTGTACCGATCATTGTCCCGATGGTTGTTCCGATGGTTGTTCCGATTGCTGTTCCGAGGGTTGTCCCGATGGTTGTTCTGCTGGTTGTCCCGATGGTTGTCCCGATGGTTGTCCTGGTGATTGTCCCGATGGTTGTTCCTGATGGTTGGTTGTCCCGTCGGGTGTCACCATCGTTGTCCCGATGGTTATCCCGGTGGTTTTCCCGCTCCGATGAATGTCCCGATGGATGTCCCGGTGGTTGTCCCGATTGTTCTCATGGTTGTCCCGAGGATTGTCTTGAGGGTTGTTTCGACAGATGTGACGAGGGTTGTCCCGATGGTTGTTCTGCTGGTTGTCCCGACGGTTGTCCCGAAGGTTGTCCCGATCGTTCTCCCGGTGGTTGTCCCGATGGCTGCCCCGAAGATTCACGACGAGTTCCAAAAGCACTCTTATTCCCTATAAGCCTTATGGAAATTGTGAGCCTTAAAAGTGCGACGAGTCTCATACGCCTCATAGGGCTCATAGTGCGGAAAGGTATGGGAACGCAGCTTGGATTCATATCCATCTTGCTGGGCTGCTGCGTGTCCGCTCGGAGCTGAATGGCGTGTCCACTGCAAATCATAGATGATGTCACCTTGCCCCCAACCTCCTGATCACCCGAAGGGTGGTTCAGAAGGTACAGGCGTTCACCCCCGTCCTCTCCCCCTTCTCCTGTCCGCCCCCCCACCCTCGTGCTCACCTGCCAGGGGTTAGTGGATGTGTGCACATCTCACCATCGTTGTAGTTCCCTGGGGGCGCACTTCAAGACACTGAATTTCATGCTTTTTGCCAGGGTTCCAGTGCATCGCCGGTGCAACACCGATGCATCGCCAGTGAATCGCCGATGTATCGGCGATGCGGCGCGATCCTCCGACCCCATCTACTCTGACCCCATCTAGGAGGCCTCTATGCATATAGTTGGCGGCCTCCTAAAGTGGTGGCGCGCATCAAGAAACTGAATGCTTTTCATCAGGGTGCCCTGGGTTTCTTCGCTCCGCGCGCTGCGCGCTGCCCGCCCGTGGCCGTCGAGGGAGCTGCTGCGGTCGGGGTGCTCTGGACCCCACCCCACTCGCGTCTCGCGCCTGCGGGCCTCGGGGCTGGGCTTCTCGTGGGGATTCCTTGCGGCCGCGCCCGCACTGTTATGTTTGAGTCGGGCACGTTCCTCTACAGGAGAACTATTCAACGACAGTCAAAACATAGTCTGGTGACGATTTGTTGAGCACTGCTGCGTGTGTTTGACTATTTGTTATCTTTCGTCCAAAACCCGCCTGTAGGGAGACACGCCCGACCCAATGTTATGTATAGCTGCCATCAGGTTACCTGCATATCACTCCTTCTTACTTGGTTTACAGCCAGCGCCGCTCTCAGCCAGCATCCCCGTGCGTCAGGGTCTCCAGGAAGTCTGACAAGCACCATTCCAAAAATCATCTGGGTGACTGGCGAATGGAGTGAGAATTCAACGGAAGTGAACCGTACGATCAAACACAACTACAATTACGGACACATACTCAGGAGCGAAGATTCATTGCGGCAGCAGGTGGAAATCAAGTTTGCCAAGTGGGCGCCAGTCGGATCATATATACGCTATTTCACAGACGATGACATGGACGAGTCAGTTCGCAATATTTCTAAGTTGTTGGAAGCAAGAGGCATCAAAGGTGTGAGTAAGGCGTATTTCAACCTCCGTCCAGGTGCTTTCCGAGCTGATGTTTGGAGGCTTATGATTTTGTGGGCAGAAGGCGGTGTCTATATCGACGCTAATGTACACCTCCAGTGCACAATCCGAAGTTGGATCCAGTTCACCCAGGATGAGCTTGTGGTCATTGAAGACCACGGTGTGCCTGGGGGTTATTGGAATGCAATGATAGCCGCTGTGCCGCAGAATCGATACATTGAACATGCAATTAAAGACATAGTGGGTAATATCCAGAAGCATTATTATGGCCCAAACCCGTTGTCAGTTACAGGTCCACTTGCATTGGGCAATTCATTCAGGAAGCAACCTCATTTCCCTCAGGGCGTTCACAGTCGGGCTGTATTCAAAGACGGGAAGGCTAAAACCCGAACGGGTGAACTAGTTGCGACAAAAGACGCAAACATGCATTCTGCGTTCAACAAGAGCAAGCATTATGATCCAATGTGGTATCACCGCCAAGTGTATTGCGACCAGGCAGGGCCGAAGCCTGATCTTGGCATGTGCTCGCGCAAGTAGCACTTCAAGAACATCGCGATTTGAAGCGTAGCCTTTTGCATGCCTCCCCAGCTCACATGACAAGTGGCCTAATGAGCTCGCTAGTACTGTCTCGCATGGAGGTTTCTATGTTCACCATCCTCGTCGTCGCCATCATCAACGTGGCATTCCACTCATAGCGCATCCCTCGGAGGCACTCGCAGAGCAGCGCTTGTGAGGCCCAGACCAGAGGAAAGGCATCCACCCCCCGAGCTGCCGGTGCGTGTGCGAAGAAGGGCGCAGGTCGCAATGGGCACGGGTCGCGGGTGAGTTGAAGGCACGCCTTTTGGGTCTATTTTTGGGCCCTTACTTGGAGCGTCCGGGCACCTCCTGGGGCCATCTTGGAAGACACCGCTAAACTTAAGTCGGACCTGTCCCTCTACAGGGGGAAAATTCAAGAATAGTCACACACAAAATAGTGTGGGGACTATTTTTTAATATTTTTGGGCATCTTATGAGTATTGTTTGAGTATTTTTTATTTTTCGTCCAAAATCCCCCTCTGTAGGGGGACAGGCTCGACCTAAATCTTGGAAGACACCGCTAAACAAACAGGAGGCGCCACCGTTTGGCCTCGTCCCGTGGGGGGAGGAGGAGGAGCAGGAGCGGGCAGGAGCAGGACCAGGAGATGGGGGCGAGGGAGAAGCGAGGGTGGAGGAGAGGGGCGGGAGGAGAAGGGGAGCAAGGAGGGAAAGGAATGGGGAGGACGAGAAGGTGGGAGAGGGAGAGAGAGAGAGAGGGGCAAGAAGAGGTAGAGCGAGGAGGCAGGATGGAAGAGGAGGAGGAACAGCAGGGGTGGGTGGGAGGTCGAGCAGAGCGCCTGGACACACCATTTCTGAGGGCTCAGAGGTGGAGCCTCCTCGAGACACGCATGATCTTGGGGCGCCAGAGGTTCACATACATCCCAACACTACAGGGCTCGGGGGCCAGAGGTACACATTCCTCTCGCTTCGCGGCGTGCACGTCTGGACCACGTGCAGTCCAGTCGTCAGGTCTGCGTAGGCCGTCACGGGCCAACATGCCCAAACACTACCATCGTTCAACCGCCGTAGGACAATCAATGTTTCTGAACTATCGAGGCGCTCTTGGGGGTCCCCTTGGGCCCCCCTGGTGCCCTCTTGGGGGCCTTGTAGGCCCTCTTGGGGGCCTTGTAGGCCCTCTTGGGGCCACTTCGAGCTGCCTTGTGGCTGTCCCGAGCCAGGAAGCCATCCTGAGCCGTCGTGAGGCCCTCCCGGACCCGCAGGAAGCCCACAAGAGGCCAAAATCACTGATTGTCATTGGGCGGCAAGGGGGGGGGCGTCTGGCTCCAGACCTCTGCTTCATTCGACTGTTTGCAGCAGTGCGTCCTATGGGGGGGAACTCCAGCTGCTCGAAGCAGACGCCAAAAATAGCGGCGGAGAGGCCTTTGGACACTCTGACCCAGTAGAGCCCATTGGTCTTGTCAGCCTCGCGTGGCCCATAGACTCTGTAGCTGAAGCGTATCGCGATATTGGCGTGTACGGGTCGCGGCGGGTCTCGCTGGCATTGGCACCACGCGATCCATTTTCTCAGGACGAAGCGAAGCGAGCGGGTAAACTTTTGCGTATGTATACGCGAGTGCAAAGGTGGATGTATGGATGTGTGGAAGGTGTGTGGTGTCAGCAAGTTGGACTGAGTTATGCCGTGTAAGCTGCGTCGTGTGAGCCGTGTGGTGCGATCTGTGTGGTGCGAGCTGTATGGTGCAAGCTATGGTGTGCAAGTGATGTGGTGCGCCGGTTTGAGCAACTCATGTGGTGTAGGCCGTGCTGCGTGTCGTGTGGCGCACACGAGGCGCCCACGATCCGTAGCCATTCTGGTTCGGGCTCAGGCTGCCCCTGCAGGCAAGCCTGATGCCGCCGGGTACACCCAGATCGCCGGGAAGGATGCGCGATTGACGCGCGCCCTGGTCGGAGCAAGGCCTTTTCTGCAGATGAGGCGCCTCGGCTTTCACACGCCGATTGATCATGCCGGTTCCAGACGGGCGCTGGATCAAGCACTTCATTAAAGCCATGGAAGATTTTGGACGAGTCCGCAAGACCGTCTTCGGAGTACGTCTGTGTACCATGTTGCTTGTTGGCCCGCTGCTATACTTATGATATGCGTCCACGGTGTCGGACAATCGTCAAGACACATCGTGGATCGTGGTTGACAGCATCGCTTGGTGTACCGTCTTGGTGTAAGCTCATGTTCGTTTCCATATGTGGGGTTTCGATTCGACCTAGGCGCTGAAGGCGGGACTCATGGCGAATGGATTCTGCGTCATCACATCCGTCGGATTGAATGCAGGGTCTGCGTCGAATTACCACTTCGGTTATGTATGTATTTCTGTTGGACGTGCTGTTCGATACGCAGTCGGAACACAACGAAGCAACGCTGCACAGGTTATCGATGCTCCTACGTGGTTGGATCGTTATCCATGTTGCGCTCCAAGGTCATGAAGACCACTACGGATGCATTTAGCTTGGTCCGTATGAGATCAAGCCCCGAGCTATGCCCCAGTTCGTTTTCGGTGCTCTGCCGATGCTCGCGAAGCTAACGATGCTCAGGCCTTCCAGCGCGGGCGCCCGGCAGGATGCACGGCGCCACGAGGAGTCGAGAGCAGTGGCCTCCAGCACTGCCAAGCATCAGGCCAGTTTCGGCTTGAGCTCAGCGGAGGTACGCTTGTCGAGCTGTCGGATCGCGCATCTCGTCTACAAACTGCTGTCGCACCTGCTCGCCAACCCGCGAAGCTATCGTCGCTCCCTGTCGAAGTCTCTTTCTATTCGTGACGGCGACGACGACGAAGAGGCCGTGGACGAGTTCTTCGCCGGAGTGATGCAGGGTAAGCCAACCATGTGGGAGCGCGCCAACTCGGCTGCTCGCAGACTCCGAGATCCGAGCTCTTCTCTTCGCGAGGTTCATGAGGACGTGGTGGAAGCCTTCCCCGAGCCGAGTCAAGGCGCTCATCCGCGTGACGATGCACCGTCAAGCTCTCGGCCAGCGCGTCGAGAGTCGCAGCACGCTGTGATGCAAGGGTGTGTGGAGCTTGGCCGATCGCCTTTCCCCTCCACCTCTTCCCCCCCCTCGGCTTCTTGTACGGGGCGTGAAAACGACCTGATTTCCTTGTGCTGCCACCCTCCAGCCCGCAGAAAGAGAGCAGTGGTTGTGGTCACCTTCGTTGAGCTTGGCACCAGGGAAATGACCACAACCACTGCTTCTTTTTCGGCCGGCTGGAAGGCGGCGCAGACAAAAAGCAGTGGCTGTGATCATTTTCCCGTCCCGCTTCTTGGCACGCGAGGTGCCCACGAGCGGGCAACGCATCTCGCCGACGGGGCGACGCCTCGGGGCACCTGCCCAGCGCACGGGCCGCCCACGAGGCGCCCACGGGCGGGCAGGGGCGCCAACGTGGCGACGCGTCGGGTAAGAACACACACACACACACGGCGCGGCGCGCACACACACACACACACACACACACACACACACACACACACACACACGGCGCACACACACACACACACACACACGGCGCACGACGCGCTCACAACGGCGCCCACAAGCGGGCACGGGCGCCACCGGAGCGGGACCTCGGGGAGCTCGCACCGCGCACGGGGCGCCCACGACGCGCCCGAGAAATAACTAGGCACGGGCGCCAGCGTGGCGAAAACCCAGGAACCCAACCCAAGTGTTTGAGAGACCGGTTGGGAAACAGCGCAGGGGGGGTTTGAGAGACCGGTTGTGCTCGTGTGGGCCCCCTCCGGCCGCCCTGGGGGCGTCCCGTGCGATCCTGAGGTCAGCCTGGGCCGCCCTCTGGGCCGGTCTGGACCCTCTCGGAGTGGGCCGCTTCGGACCACCTCGGATCTTGTTTCGGCCGTCTCGAGGGCAGCCTCGGATCTCGGACCTGGACCTCGTGCGGGCATGGCCCGAAGCCGAGGGGTCCCCGAGCACGCCCCGGGGCGCAGCGAGGGGTCCGCTCCGGGCCCCGCTGCCCCTGGGCGCCCCCCGTCCAAGCCGGGCCTGGCCGGGGCTTCCTGGGGGAGCGGCCCCCGCCCCCGACCCCCTCGCGTCATGAAAAAATCACGACGGGAGGTTTTTCGCTATTTTCGGCCTCTGGGGGGCCATACCGGGACTCGGGACCGTCAAAAAACGACTCAGGATGAAAAGCCGGTCCCGGGGAAGGGGTCGGGACCTCTGGGGTCGCGTCATGAAAAAATCATGACGTCGGGGGTCTGGGGCGGGGAGAGGCAGCGGCACCGCACGGCGAGCGGGGAGGCCCCAGGGTCAAGTCGGGATTGTCCCTCTGCCGGGGGAGTATTCGCGAATATAGTACAGAGAGAATACTCTGGGGGCGATTTTTGTTTGACAACCGTTGGCCTTGTGGGCTATTTTTCCACATTGTTGCAGCTTGTTGCCCAAAATCCTGCCTGTAGGGGGACATGCACGACCTAACCCTGAGGGGTCAGCGAATCATGTGGAATGCATCAAGGCCAGGGTTGGAGAGGCAGCGTTGGGCTGGAGGAGCCAGACGCCCTCGGGTCATGAAGTTTTTTTTTGTTATCCTATTTTCGGCCTCTGACTGCCCTTTCCGGCTTCGGGACCGTCAAGAAACGGTTCAGGATGAAGAACCGGTCCCGGGGAATGGGTCTGGACCTCTGGAGATCGCGTCATGGAAAAAACATGACAAACGAGGACCCAACACCACAGGATGGTTGGGAGAAAACGTGCGAGATCTACAAATACATAGAGAATGGACGTCCGAGCGATGGCGAGCTTGCCCCCGTCTCCTCGGCACCTCGGGGCCCCGGGGGGGGGAGCGGCCTGAACATTCCACGACGCTCTCAAGGCGTGACATGCAGGAGAAACTGGGAGGGGAATCGACTCAACTACGACGTTTCTTTTACGACGTTCCTTTCCTCCTGTTCGCTTCCCGATCTCTTTGGGAGTGACAGCGGCGACGATCAAGACGACGCCAGCGTCTCACTTCACGTCGACTTGGTCGGCGGATTCCACGGCGACCTGAGGGCGTGACAAGGATGCTTGTTTTGCTGCATCTGTGCAGGCAGGCGCAGCCGTGGGGTGGAGGAGGAGGAGGAGGAGGAGGAGGAGGAGGAGGAGGAGGAGGAGGAGGAGGAGGAGGAGGAGGGGAGGAGGAGAAAGGAGGAGGAGAGGGAGGAGGGGGAGGAGGGAGGAGGAGGGAGGAGGGGAGGAGGAGGAGGAGGAGGATGAGGAAGGAGGAGGAGGAGGAGGAGGAGGCCCCGGCCCCCGCCGCAGGACAGCATCATGGGCGAGGTTCAGGCCCGCATCGTGCGGCTGCAGGGCGCGAGCAGCGCGTCCTCCCCGAGGTTGGGCTCGAAAGGGCACGCCTACAGGACGCCTCCCTCTGCACCGGTCATGGTCCAAAGAGAGGATCGACGACAGTTCGGGGGCGGGAAAGAGGGGGGTGATGACTAGGGTGGGGTGGATATCATGGCGGGGGTGATGATATTTCCCCAGGTTTCATGGCGCCTCTTCTTATTTCATTACGTCCCTGGTCCCCCCGCTGGGCCTCGCACATGCCGCCGGTCATGATTTGCACCCCCCCCTCTTGGACACCCCCCTCTTGGCCGCTCCCGACTACAGTAGGGGCGCGCATCAAGGAACCATCGGCTTTTCGTCAGGGTTATCCTGGGCTTCTTCGCTCCTCGCGCTGCGCGGCGACTTCCACAGCCGTTGGAGGAGCTGCTGCGTTCCGTGTGCTCCGGGTTTCCCCTCGGGTGTACCTCGCGCACGGGTTTTCAGGGTTGGGTTTCTTGCGAGGGTTTCTTGCGGCCGCGCCCGCACTGCAGGGTCTCGGGTGTTTCTGAAACTTTGTAGGGCCTTCGGTGGCGCCATCGTCGCCACGACTCGGTTCCTCTCGAAAGTATGGCTGGAACGCACTTCAGCACAGGTCGTGGCGTCGTCTTTACAGGGCGGAAGCCAGACCTCCAGCGTCGACAAAAAGTCGCCGTGACAGCTCTTGCTTCGGAGTGAGCCTATAGGAACGTCTTCGGGGCTTCAGGACATCGGATCCAAGGACAAAACACCGGTCCCAGGAGAACCCCAACCCCCGGATAATAAAGCATCCACCACTTAACTTTGAGTCGAGCAGGTCCCTCTACCGGAGGAAAATCCAAAATAATCAAAAGATAGTCTGGGGACGATTTCTGACTATGCTGGATTATGTTTGAATAGTCGTTGGCTTTTTTCTCTTCCAAAATCC